AGGCCCTGGTGGCGTAACGGATAGCGCACTCGCCCGGAAAGCGTGAGGTGCGGGTTCGACTCCCGCCTGGGGCACGACTTTTGCCCATAACTCAGCATTCTTGTGATACACTATTGGGAACATTTAAATACTTATAAGTATTTAAATATTCGACATCATGCCGAGGTTTCAAGAAGGGACAACGTGGAGATTACTATTGGGAACCTTCTGTGTTTCTTTGATTCATAAATGAAACTCTTCCAAGTTGTTTTTTTTACTACGTTTCGGGCCTTGAACCCTTCGTGAGGTCTACAAAACATCATATATGTTCACATAGCCTACACCAACATCAATCCACTATTAGACATACATCGCAGAATATTCGAAGAGGGAACAATTATTCAACAACTGACCGACTTCCTACGGGAAGGAGCTCCTGGGCTGGAGCGGTCCGGGATGGAGTGGGTCGGGATTGCTGCAGGATAGTTCAGTGATGGAAGAAAACTACGCGACATTGACTTACCTCCCAGCTGTCCTTTCCAATAGAAATGAGACAGCTAGATTGGCGAAGCAGTGGTAAGATGGTAATAGTGGATACCCCGCTGTTTGTCGTATGTCACGTATTGGGTCGTGGCAAATATAATGAGCTATTTGAAGCAAATATTTTAAAATATCATAACTCGCTTCAAAGTGTTGCTTTTCAATCGAAATAACGACCAAAAGAATCAACACATTTCTGCCAACGAGAAGGCAGTTTAGATATTCCGGCAGCATAAAATTCTGGAGTTCTGGAATCGACGAAATCGTTGAATGCCTTTTCTACGTCGTCTTGGTTTCGGAAGCATTTCTCGCGTAAGAAAATTTCGAGATGCTTGAAAAAGTGATAATCCGTAGGGGAAAGGTCTGGTGAGTATGGAGGATGGTCGAGAGTTTCATATCCCAACTCCATCAGTTTTTTGTTGTCATCAATGAAACATGCGGTCGGGCGTTGTCATGGAGTAGGATCGCGCCCTTTCTGTTGATTAATGCCGGCTGAATCCGATGCAATTTTGGTGCATTTTTCGATTTCCTCACAGTACTTCTCCGCTGTGATGGTTTCTCCTGGAGCCAGGAAGCTGTGGTGGATCAAACCGGCTGTAGACCACCAAACAGTCACCATGACCTTTTTTGGTGCAACTCCGGCTTTGGAAAATGTTTAGGAGCTTCGTCGTGATCCAACCACTGTCCTGACCGTCGTCTATTGTCGTATTGAATCCATTTTTCGTCACATATCACAATGCGTTGCAGAAAAGGATCGTTTTTGTTCCGCAAAAGATGAGACGAACAGACTTCGAGACGACGAGATTGCTGGTGCTCAGTCAACTCATGCGGGATCCACTTGTCAAGTTTTTTTACCTTCCCAATTTTCTTCAAATGACGTGCTACAGTTCCGAAGTCAACTCCCAGCTCTTCAGCAATTTCCCTTGTGGATGCTCTTGGGTTGGCTTCTATCTGTGCCTTCAATTCGTCTCTTTAACTTCCGATGGCCGACCGCGTCCCTCCTGATCTTCCAGGTTGAAGTCTCCATTTCGGAATTTGTCGAACCACCTACGCGTGGTGCGCTCATTTGTAGTACCTTCGCCCCATGCGTTGGTGATATTCCTAGCTGCTTCCGCAGCATTACGGCCGAGTTTGTACTCGTGAAGCATGATGAGTCGGATTTCGCGTCTTGACAACATCTTCGCGGGTGACCCAAAATCGTAGAAGAAATGGTGGCAGAGAAACGGGAAAAATTGTACGGTAGCTTGAGAAACTGTTCCGAACGCTATATTTTTTAATGAATTATGATCAGTGGAACAGAGCAGGTGCGAAAACGGTCATTATTTTTGCCGCAACCTAATATCACCACTAATGTCACATCATTATCATTTTTCGCCCATCATTGAACCATCTTGCAGCAATCCCGACCCACTCCATCCCGGACCCGCTCCAGCCCAGGCCCTCCTTCCCGTAGGAAGTCGGTCAGTTGTTGAATGATTGTTCCCTCTTCGAATATTCTGCGATGTATGTCTAATAGTGGATTGATGTTGGTGTAGGCTATGTGAACATATATGATGTTTTGTAGACCTGAAGAATAGCTTAAGGCACCGAAAAGTAGTCGAGAGATAACCAACTTGGATAAGTCCCATTTATGAATCGAGGAAAAACAGAAGACTTGCAGTACAATGAAGCTCAGAAACCCTTTGATATTACATTATTGGGAATGTCAAAAAGGGAGTGAAAAGATTCGACGGGAACGGGCGATTACGTCCACATTATTCAGCTACGATCTAGCTTTAGCGTTGAGTGCAATTTATTAGGTGTTCTTCAACTAGGAGCTACATTAAAGTTTCTTCAGCTATTCCCGCAGCCTTCCTTCCCGCATGCGGTGGCTATTTAGCACCATGCTGGCCCCAATAGGCCTCCCGAAAATAAGTGTCAGAATCGTGATTAGGGGTGTCACCTACCCCAGTATTAGAAGTTCGAACATAAAAATTCTCGAGCTCTTCTGCTGTTGATGGATGATCATTCGGATGACAGCGACACCCCAACTCCCACATCTCCGTAGCCGTGTAGGTCAGAGGCGAAAGTCACAAATTTCCATTTCAAAATTCAGCACTTTTCTAGAAAATGCCATGTTAGCTCCAGAGCACCCAAACAAACATCCTGAATTTTTTACAGCTTCAACGGTCTAGGCTTCTATCAAGTAGGGGCTGAACGTGAGCATCAGTGGTGGCTGGCAGGACATGATAGCAGCTGATAAGGGCTGACAAGGGACCTGAAAAGGGGAGTGTCACTAGAATCATAGCTCGCCCCAAGCAACGGTGGAATTTTTTCTCAAGAAGTGATATATGGGGCTGGACGTGAACGCAGTTGGTTGGTGGCAGGAGGTGATAATAGCTGATAAGATACCATAGGATCGGGGTGCCCTCGAAATTTACACAAGTTGTGGCAACATGGAGAACTGATTCCAACAATTAATTCAAGGATGGCTAGGGAACACTGGTTGCGGGAGATAGGTTTTGATGTAGTGCCCGATAGGGGCTTTCAAAAGTTAGTGTCTTGTGAGTATCTGTTCTCTCCTTGCGACTGAACTGCGACCACCTTAGTCCACTGAATCAATGAGCAAAGTCTTAGTGAGTCAACATGATATATCCTTTAGTGATGCAGTCGAAATGATTCAACCGACAATTGAGTTTTGGCCAAAGTGAGCGCCGAAAGTTGACCATTTCACCTTTCGAGCGCCAGGCTGTCCGTATTTCCAACGCGTGGTGAGTGTTCTTCGGAAGTGTGATAAGCGCTGCAGTGGCAACGATCAGTAATGACGAGAAATATGAAGAAGTGGGCCGCGTTCTGAAACACAGAAGTCAGGCCAAGGGTTA